TATATATATATATACATACCAGAAACAAAATATCAATGGTCTCTGCTGATACTTGGTATTAGCCCACATTTAACCTCTCACACATAACCAAATGTAACATTTTCAGTAAAGATTCATAGGAGATACAAACATTCCCTCTACTTCCCCAGAGTTCTCCAAGCTTAAGATTAAGTGGAAATCTAAAAGCTCCTTTTGAAAGACAGGATATTTCTGAGTACTGAAGACAGACATTGTTCAGTTATATGAAGTTGACATTTGTAAAGAGATTACTAAAATGGCTTACCATAGAACTGAGAGTGGGCAAAAAGGGTGCTGAGGAAAATTTTACTCTAAGGCATAATTTTAAATTTTCCTGTCCTGCTGCATCACATTTAGTTTGTACAGCACCTAACAGGAGAATGAAGCCTGAAGGCAAGAATTTGTTAATTGTAATTGTACAATGAAACAAAAAAAAAATTACTTGATTCTTACTGCCACATATTGTCCCCCTAGTCAGTCAAAATACACAAAGGACAAATAAGCAAGCAAAGGAAATAACAGATAAAAGGAGACAATTCCTTCTGAATCAGAAATAGCCTACTATATTTTTACTGAGGTGTCTTGTCATTTACATTATGTGTAAATGTAAAAAAAAAGAATGTGTTCTTTCCAGTTTTGTCTAAACCTTGTTAAGAAACAAGGACTTTGGCCTACACAAATAGATGCAGCAATCTACAAATTCAGCCACTGTCCAGCTTTTGTGTTCCTCAGAGCTCCAGCACATTTCAGAATGCCCATAGTTTAACAGACTCTCTGCAATAAACTGCACATCCAGTCTGGAAGTTGTAATGTAATAGTTGGTGAAGAAGAGACACCCTGGGAAGCATTTTTAGCCAAAAAATCCCCCTAGCCTAGAGCAGGGTGGGTAAGGCATGTGCCAAAACCCCAAGGCTCTTAAAAACATGTAACAACAGAACATCATTAGAACATTCACATCAGCTTTGAAAAATATCTTATTTTCTAATCTGTGAGATTACTTAAACACAGAGACCTGATACTTGTTTTATCATTGTTAGAGAAAGAATGTAACATTCTCAGAGCAGTTTATGATAAATCCTCTGTTTGGATAGATGGGTATATTTCTCATGGCTAGCTGGAAGCTGCTGTAATGCTCTATTTCAGAAAACAGGACTGGAAAGGTCAGTAGTTTTATGGAACTCGATTCAAAGTCTATTGAAATGAGGCAAAAAAAAATTTCAGACTAACCACATAGCTTTTTCAATCCTCAGTATTAACCCAGAAACTACTCCTCATTTCTAATCCCTAATGTCATCTAATTTCTAATTTCTTCATTTCTAATCCCTGAATGTGTAATCTTCCAGATGGAAATTTGTACAGCCTGTGACATGCCTACAACAACTTTAAGGCTTTAAAGTAACTAAAAAAAATACTATTCTTTCCCTCCAAGTCTTGGCTTGGGAAGCTAATGTATACCCAGTGTGCTTTTTTTCTGCCCAGACAACATAAAAGAGCTTTCTCAGCAGATTTCAGATACGCTACATCTCCATTATAAAGTACAGAAAAGTAATAAAACATTCAGTGCATCTTAAATGAATTAAAAAAATTATATGCAATTAATATTACCCCAAATATGCACATTATTAGAGTATTTTGAGATCAGGTAAATTGCTGACATAAAGTTTAACACAGGCTATTTAAAGTGTTTTATAAGTAAAAGCTGCATGTGAGAGCAGACTTCGTAATGCTGTCTTTTCAAAAGTAAATTGTAGATATTTTGAGGCAAGTGAAGTTATTTTCCATTTTAAATCTGCTATCATATCAAAATTATTTGGATCAAATAGTGGCTGTATGAATACATATGTATAATTGGAACTGCAACTTGTTTTCTTGACATTGCTTCTAACACATCTCAAGTTGTACCATATCCCAAATGAAGTCTACTATTAACTCAGTTCTCAAGAGGCCTTCATTTTAATATGATCTCCCACAGGGAAAAAAAAAAAAAAACAAAACAACAACACTCCCAAAAACTACAAAACACCAAAACCCAACCAAACTGTCACATTAATGTGATTCTTCTGCCAAAAGCCCCCTGTACATGAAGAGACAATTATAGCAAATTTTAACTCAACTTACTTCCCATAATAGTGGACATAAATCTACAACTCTCCTCAATTCCCTTTAGAATGATAGCTTAAGAGAAGAAAAAGAAAATCAACAAATCTGTAGACTGATAAAATCATTAACTACACTCAACTCAAAGCAGAAAATCAAAATCACCTACATTTCTATTGTGAAAATAGTTTGTAGCCTTTCAGAGCTTCATCAATTTATGAGGTAATATAATTACCAAAGGCTGACAATGCATATAAAATAAATCCCACAACTTCTGAAGATTCAGTCACAAACAAATTCAGGCTCAATTGATTTAGCCAGTCCATGCAGAGGCAGCCTTGACTCCTTAGAAGCAAGATATACTGTGAGGACATTTATGAGTTTTGCTTCGTATTTAATCTCACATCTGCAATGACTCACCTACCTTACAGTGTTATTTCATTCAGAAACAAGCAAAGGTTTGTCATCAGAATGCTTTGGAATATATAGAAGCAAAGGTTTAATAATCAAAAGCAGGAACGTATCTTCCACTGAATAGAAATTATACTGAACATATCTTTCACTAATCCCATACCTAAGCATTTTTGTTTAATTGAAAGCTGGAAGAATCTCATATTATTTGCACAAAATACCACAGTTGCTTATATCACAAATAGCATGTTAATAGCTCAAACAAAAGGGACTCATTGTCTTCTATTATATAGTACTCTTATCAAGCTACCTCTCTGATCACTTTAACATTAATTTTTCATCTGGTTTCTCTGAGAGATTAACAATAAACAGATACAATACAACCAAATGTCACCTGCACACCAACAGGCAATTACAACTAATTTTAACTTAAATTGCTTCACATAAAAGGTTCAAGCCAAAATGCCTTATCAAAAAATGGGGAAGAAGCAGAATTGAAAACCTGTCAAAAACCAACTTGTAGTGCACCAGGACTGCACAATCCCAGCAGCCCTTCATCCAGAGCACTGTTCAGCTCTTTTTACCACTGCCCATCTGCCAGCCATAAGACTTTAATGCCTTGAATACATACCAATCTGATAAAAAATTAGGAAATCAAATTAGTGGAGAGCAAATGGAATTCATCATCCTCAGCAGCATGACAGGTAATACAAACCTTAAAAAAAAGATTTGCACAGCCAAAGATTTAAAATATGTAATCTTTACTACTCAAAAGCTAGATTGAGATCTGCCAGAATTGCTGAATTTTTACCCTTGTTCTATTGTGATTATTTCGTATTATGTACATATGCTGACTGGCCCTTTAAACACAAGCTGGAAATTCAGACATTTCATCTGTATCTTCTTAATATACAGAGGGTAAGACAGAGCACAGAGGGACAACGAGAATCTCAAAAATATTTATTTCCTGCTTCCATGAGAATGATAAGTTTAAGCTGTTTTTTCTCCTAGAGCTTTGCTAGCCAGAAGTTTGAAGGATTCAGTAAGATTCCCGTACACCTTAAATAATATGCTTCTCTAAATAGAATCTGTTTGCACAGTATGACTGAATTTCACAGGTTTGTTGCTTGAAAGGATGTGTATGTTTAGCTCAGATCCGGGGTTAAACTATAGCAGTTGCTCTATTAGCCGGTAACCCCTCCCAAGATGGGAAAGAGAATTGGGAAAAAGAAGATGAGACTTGTGAGCTGAAATGAAAATGCTAATATAAAGTAAACAAAGTCATACGCAGCCCAGTTAATGTACAGTGCTCACAGAAAAACCATCCTCAGGAGCAGAATGACTGATCCCCTTCAGGGATCGGGAGAAACAGGGGGAGAAACCTCCATCCTCACCAACTTCCCCCTTTATACTGAACATGAGATTTATGGGATCAACTACACCTGTGGCCAGCTCGGGCCAGCTGCCCTGGCTGCCTCCAAACCCCTAACAGTCTGCAGACCATGGCATCTTGCCCCAGTGAAACCAGGACAAAGGAGTACACACATAAAAATAAAATGAAGACGTTTTAATAGGACTCAATCTAATCAGTATTGTGTGCTCCAAATATACTAAGTCTTTTTTAAAACCCCAGGAAATTAACTAATAGACAACATCCATAGCATCCATAACGCCGGATTTAATCTCAACAGTGTCTTCCATTACCCATATTATTCATATTTTAAAACTGAATTCATGTTTTAAAATACATGTTTATTGCACTCAAAACAATAACCACAGTTTAATGTCACGCACCCTTCAACAGATACCTTCAAAACACATTCATCACTTTTCAGAATGGAAATACACACAGTAGAATAGAAGCATTAAGTCAGAGAAGCATTAAAGCAAAAGGAAAATTCAGTCAACTAATAGATGAAAAAAGGAATGAAATCACAACCATCAAGCGTTAAGGCCCAACTCCTCCTACTGAAGCCAATAACAATTAAGCATAAAACATCGTCTTAAAATGCAATCACAGATACTACTAAAACACTCTAGAATGAGAGCGGGTGTACTACCAAAATATATATATATATATCAAATACATTGGCACTTAAAGCGATTTAAATTATTTCACTATAAGCTAACAAATTGCCTTCTACACCCACAACATATCATCACCTTGACACACAGTATTAACTAAATATTTCTATTGCATTTTGCTATTAGAAGATACGATACCTCCGTCTGAAGTATGGCAGCTCTCTGTTCTTTGGCAGTAAGTGACTCTTTAAGCACTTCAATGTGTTGCTTGCAATCTGAATTCTGATTGCTAAGGGTTTCAAGCTTAGTTTGTAAGGCAAGAAGTTCTGATTCTTTCTTTGAGAGTTCTTGTTTCAGTTGGTCGATCTGTAATGGGAAGGAAAATTAAAAATCTTTGATCATTAATTTTATTTCCAATTAGTAATTGCACTTGAAATCTGAAAGGTGTGCATGACCATGACAACTCAGACACCTGTAAATTCTGGAAGAGAATTAAGATTCAGACTTTTTATACTCATAACTTTAACTGAGTTTCTTGTAATTTAATGTACCCTGTCTTAAGAATGATTGCCCTGCTGTTACAGAAGTTAAAAGCAAACTCTCAAAGATTATACATAAAGATTTGGCCTATAAATTCACCATGGACCTCACTTAAGTTCAAAGGAATTTATCCTCAGTGAGGCAAGCCTGGCAGGACAGCAAAAATATATAGGAAAAAAAGTGATCATAAAAGTATAAATTCAATCCAATAGCTTACTTCTTCCAACAGCATGATTCTTGTGACTTATCATTGGCCAGAGTGAAACTTTTTTTAGGTGCCTGATAAGGAAAAGCAGGTATCTTAGTAAGGAGAGGAAAACTGAGAAGTGGAATTTTAAGCTTACTTTTCTTGCAAGTGTGCTGCTGCCCACCATCCCCACCTCCTTTTTTTCCTCCCTGGCAGTTCATAATGGAATTCTCAGGTACCAGGAAAACCAAGCCAAAAAGATTAACTTAAGAGAAGTCTGGGGAAAACATTGTAAAAACAAAAAAATTCCATAGTGAAAGGTCTGTGAGATTATAAAAGCATATCCTAGGGGAAACAGCAGAAACTTGGTCACTAAGACAGAGCTTCTGAATTTAAGGGAATTTAAGGTTCATCAGTGAATGTCACAGAACTGTTATTATTCTTCCCTTTCTACAATGATAAACAGGAGAATTAGTCACAGAACACAAAAGCATGGTAGATTTAGAATACACAAATCTGAATAAAGCACTGGACAATACACAGTATGATGCTAAAGGATGGTGAATTAGGTGACATATAGCCATTCTTCTTAAAGTAATGAAATAACACTGGTCACCGGATGAGTTCAGATACATCACCTCATGAGGATTATTCAAATTAAAATGCCTCAGTGCACCTGCATAAGTCAGAGAAACCACAACTTCATTTATATTTGGAAAGTTTTCTTCCTGACCGTAAAGCCCAGATATGTTTTTTTAAAAGTCAAGTTTCAATTCTGCAACAATCAGAGAAGGGCTAGAAGAGCTCTTTCTATTCTATTCCATTGGCTGTATCCCAACAGACATTCTGGATGCAAGAACTCTAGAAGGGATACATGAAAGGTGATTCAAAAATCCTCAGGGAAAAAAAAAAGAATATGTATCCACAGGCTGATCCTACTCAACCACATCCTAAAGTTCCTCCTACAAAAATATTTCACAGATTCAATATTGTACGGCACTGTCATTAGAAACATTCACTGATGATAAAAATATTTCTATTTTATTTTACATTGCAAGCATATCCTTAAAAATTTTTTAAAAAAATATTTATTCCAATTGTAGTCCATACGCTTGTCTACATATTTATTCTTATTTCTCTTTATAAATCCCAGTATGTTTGTCTAGCTCTTTAAGGTACTTGGTTAGCTACCTCTGAGCTACTGTATAAAAATCAAGAATCTATACTGACACCAAAAGCCATCACCTTCACAGAAAATGTCAATAGTGCTGTTAGGAAACTGCTAGAGAAAACTTTCTCTCGAAAGCAATCTTCATCCCTTGCCAGAACATGTGAGCAAGTACAGCAACCGAGACAAAAAATGTAGACAAAATGAAAAATGGAAAAATTTGTCTACAAGATATAAAGACAAAATGTAGATCTGCAAGCAATCTGAATTACATCACATGCTTTATACAAGATCCATGTGAACATCACAGGTGCTTCATCTCTCCTAGAAACTCTTCCCACTTTTTTTCCATGACACAACCCACACCCTGAGAAATAACAATGACAAAAAAAAAAAAAAAGAGCTTCATTTTCATAGCAGGTATGTTCTTTGTGTTTTAGAAACAGAATCTGTTTAGTATAAAGTTCTGGCTACAAGACCTAAAAATTGCCAGGAGTTTTATGAGTGTTACAGCTCTCAAAAAATTAAAATAAATAAAACACATGCACAAAAATGTCTTGAGTTATTGTGCTTTTGGCTGGTGTTTTATTAAAATAAAGTATAATGGCATAAACATACTAAAACTTCAATTTAAAAGAATAAGGTATCAAAAATACCAGAGGCATAAGAAACCACACATTTTCGTAGATTTTTATAGACCGGGTATATTTGCTTTTTTAAAATTCTACATGGTCAATTAGTGTGCAAAAAAAAAAAAATTAAACAGGGCATGAAACAAATTTCTGTCTCCAGCAGATGTGCAAACGTTTTCACTTGACTGTATCTTAGGTGGTGTGGAAGACCAACATTCAGGATACAATGAGATCTCCCAATCTCAGTATAAAAAAAGACAAAGGCAAAAATATTTTTGTACTTTATAAAAGCTATAAAATCTACAAGTCTGAGTATAAACACTGTAGCATCTAAAGAACTTTCAAGTTTGTCCTCTGACCCTGACCTTTCCACTATCTCATGTATTTCATATGTGTAATTTGCTTGTCACCGCTTTTTCAACATTGGCCAATATAACCTTGCTTAACCTCCTTTCCTGAAACCCTAGGTCCTTTATCTTCCATCTCAATTTAGCATTCTCTGTCACCTCCCATAATTTCAGTTGCTTAGATACTAGTATTTCCAGAAAACTGTTATCCTTTTTCTTACATGATATTACATCGAGCAAGTGGGAAACAAAGAAAACAAAACAATCAGAGCTTTTCCCCTGAACAGCATCTATCAAAATTAATGGGCTAAATATTTAAGCAAATAATTTCTAAAAATAAAATTATGATAATTTATGCATCATAAGGATCTGATCTTATGTGACAAATGACAACTGCTTCTTAAAGCAAAGAATTTAAGGAAAAATAGTTTCAATGATGAAATGGCTGTTTACAGTAGAGTCTACAAGTCTATCTGTATATTCTGTAGGTTATATTGCTCAAGGTTTATTTTTAAAGGTTTTTTTATCAGATTTAAGAAAAAAATAAAACGCTATCATTCTTTTCCTGTATATTTATCAGATCTGTATATTTATGATATTTACAGAAAAAAAATGCTGTAGGACTTTCCTGCACATTTCTTCTATGGGATCTCCTAGAACTTGTGTGCTTCCTTCATACAGTGTGAAAAGTTCTTCTACATAGACATTAATTACAGAGTGCCATGTTACAGACTTATTAATTCTTGAAACTTATCTTAAAGGTAATTTGCTGTAGCTGTACTAAACAATCACTAGATTTTCACACTTATTCATGTCAATAGCATTAGAGTTCTAATACTTAAAGAATGACTTGAATTCCAGAGTGCAAGCTCACACCTGAAAAAAATGCATGTGTTCCTTTAAATACCTGCCAGCTAGGCAATTGACAGACCCTAGTAAGAGAAGGAAGTCTTGTAAATTAGAAATTATTTTTTAAAATGTATGAAGAGAACATATAATTCTTTACGTTCTCTTAATATCCTTAATGAAGATATTTGAAGTTTCATATCCTTTAGTCATGAGAAATTTAAGACGTATTTTGACAGCTTTGGTATCATGTGAGTGATGGCAATTTTTGTCCCCTCAAAAAAAGAGCAAGAAGAGTCCTCATCAAGTAGGGGGAAAAAAAATCTAAACAAGTTTTCTTTCTCATTTCTAAAAATTTTATTTAACTGCAAGTCAAAACTAAAGCTTACATTTGGACGGAGTTAATACTACTAAGAAATAGCTAAGAACAGGAACATTTCTCAACATTCTCTGCCACTCGTGTATAATAAACAATATTTAGTATTGGCCTCCATTTAATACCTTCCCATTTATTTAAATCACAGATTTAAAATGAGTTATACTTCAAAAATAAATGTGAAGTATTAAGAGCTTTATAGCACCTAAAACTGTCAACTGTGAGGAGAGTTTTGTTCTGCTCTTTGTCATCAATCAAGACTTATGTTTATCAGAATTTATCAACAATCTCAGGTTCAACAGATCAGGTATAATAAGATCTGTTTGCTGACAGCTGCATAAATACTTTTCCACCTTGAAAGGATCTCAGATGAATGATAGAAATAATATCTTCTGCTGCAAATCTCAATTTTAAGTGGAAGAAAAGGACTGGTGAAAGAAAACAGCCAAAGTTTCATCAGAATGTGGCATTTATCAAAGATTGTAAGATTGTGACAAAACAAGGGATGTTTAATACTCTTCATATCTGCTTTCTGTGCCACAGAAATATAACGAACCTTCTCCTCTCAAAACATCAGAAGACTGTTAAAAAAATATAGGTTTTCTAAATTATTTTTACATCAAACAGATTTGCTGAGACGCATTAGAACTTTTGCTGAAAATTATTAAACCTGAATTGCTTCGAAATAGACAATATTTTAAAAGCCAAATTATTTTTCCAGATGATAATGCTATTTGGGAACTTTAGCTACTTTCCAGTAGCTTAAGAGATACTTCTTTCAACAGATTTTTTTTTTTTTAAAAAAAAAACAAATCTGTATGAATTCCACACGGTCATTAACACCTCCATTTCTTCTGTAGCATAAATCCCCAGGGGAAGATAAAAATATGCCCTAGTGTCCCAAGGCACCAGCATTTCCCATAATGTGGCTTACAAGACACTCCTGTTTCCAAACTGGGAGACAGTAAGCTCTTCTGAGATGGAAAAATTTTCATTATCCAATACCACACAAAGATAAATTTTCTTATTCCTACACTCAGTGTGGAATTTAGAAAAAGTAAAAGCATCTTGTCAAGAAGATAATGAAATCTAATTTACACAAGAAAACAGAAAATCCAACTCAGATTCTCCAGCAGATGCTGCCACTCTTTTATTCTCTGACTGTAGACAAGCTGCAGACCTTCTCTGAGTCTTAGCTTGCCCAACTCTGAAAGTGAATTAATTATATTTAGCTACCTGGTACTGCAAATTTTGTACTTAAACAGCAACACTTCTATGTCTTTCTAGTGTCAACAGACAATGGCAGGCAGAGAATACGCTTGAAGCCAAGCAACCCCTGCTTTTTTTGCTCATGTGGCCTCTAGAAAGGTCATAGTACCAACTACTCTTCAAGTGGATTTTTTCAGAGCTGTAAGTATATATTTCAGAAAAAGTGAATGAATCTATCTCAGTGCCCTAGGATTTCACAAAATCACAGAATGTTAGGGGTTGGAAGGGACCTCCAGAGACCATCAAGTCCAACCCCCCTGCCAGAGCAGGACCATCTAGTCTAGGGCAGGTCACACAGGAATGCATCCAGACGGGTCTTCAAAGTCTCCAAGGTAGGAGACTTCACAACCTCCCTCGGGAGCCTGTTCCAGTGCTCTGGAACCCTTACAGCAAGGAAATTCTTCCTCATGTTGAGGTGGAACTTCCTGTGCTCCAGTTTGTGTGCATTGCCCCGTGTCCTATTGCAGGGCATAAGTGAGAAGAGATTGCCCCTTCCTTCCTGACACCCAGCCTGTATATATTTATCCACATTAATTAGATCCCCCCTAAGTCTTCTCTTCTCCAGACTAAAAAGCCCCAGGT